TTTACACCTTTTTACTTCGACATTTGACAAGATGTGAAATGTTTCGGTTTAAGTTGAACTTTACTGATTTTAAGAGATATCGTTTCCCTTATTAGATTTACACCTTTTTTCTTCAACGTTTTGCGCAGCTTGTTACCGAATTGCTTTCGGTTTTCGAGTGTCGCGAGTCCTCCTACAATCAAGGAAAAAGCGCCCGATGGCCCGCCCACTGGCGTACTAACTAATGTCACCGGCCAATGGGCTAATTGCTCAATCAGCTTCGCGAGTCGTTCCTTATTCTATTCAGCAATTCTCGTGAAAGCGTGAGAAAAGAGAACTGTCTCTCCCACCTTCGCGACGTATTTTCGTCAAAAACGCATATTAGACGAAAAGCTATACGCGACTTCCATTCTCCGCGGGAAACGGCATCGGCTTACATGCACATTCCGTCTGGAGGTCGATTCGTACCGAAGCTGCCGAAAGCGAGGAACCGCGCCATTAGCCGTTTGCGTGAGAAAGACTAAAAGTCACACGCAAACTGCTACTTCGACAACATATCAGCGTCTGATGTTTGGCTTGCTTGGGACGTAACAACCTGATAAGGCTAGAAGACAAATCAGCGAAACGTTGTCAATAATAAATTTCATTGTTAGATCTTGTTTTTATGCTATTTTATAAGGAGATAATGCACGTGTCCGTGCGAATAGTAAAGGTTTATAGAATAGTACGGATTATATATTGAATAGTATTCAATAGCGTAAAAGCAATAAAACAAGCAAAAATACTGTAAATCAAATTAATAACAAAAATATGACTTCAGATAATGAAATATGTCAACTCTCATTACCTATACTTATCGATGTATTGGATAAAGTCCGTGAGTTGAATTTATTACTTTTCCTTTTTTTGTGCAGCGATTGCACGATTGTGCCACTCTCAGCCAATTATACTTAGCAGAAGTTCGTCGAGGGATTGGCGGAATAAACGGCAATTATAAAACAAGAATACGTGGAACTGCCAGTTGCACTTGTGTGTTTAGATATTTATTTCTCAAAAAACAGAATAATAAAAAATGGACTTACAACTAAGAGATATCTTATTCAAAACTTATCGAAAGAGAGTTGTACTACTTGGTCGTGATGCTCGAGCTAGACTAACTATCGTTAACAAAAAAATGCATCGCGGATGCGCTAATTTCCCCACTTTGGCTCATCGCGAGTTTAGAAGCTAACATTTGTACAAGTGGATTTATTTTATATCTAGTGCGCATTCGCGAATTGGTTGTGATTTTTGCAGTATTAACTAAGTTTGCCCGTCTTTACCGTTCCATACCGCGAGAAGATTTTTTTAAGAGCTCTCCCAGAGAATCAGCAACAAAGGCATATGAATTTGCGGCGTCCTTATGTTGACTTTGCCTGTGTATTTCTTATTGAGACGAAATATTGAATGGAGATAATTTTTATTTATAGTATTTAGGTTGGGGTATCACTCTTATTTTTTTGTTCTAGAATTTCACGAAATGAAACATTCTTCTATTAATTTAATAAATTTAAATAAAAAATTTTTTTCGAATTCTTAAAAAATTCTATGTATTTTCTGTACAAAATGAAGTATTTTCTTTCAAATAAACATTTTTGTATTATTCTAATATTTAAAGATATGGAGACTGGAAATTTAACGTTGTTTTGAAAGAAAATGCTTATGAAATCGCTGTATTTGAACAAAATAAAATTTTGCAGCAGCAATTTCGAAAGTACCTGAAAAAAGCTTTATAATGCTTTTTCTAAAAGTTTTCTATGATTTTTTTTTCTAAAAACAGCAAGTACTTGAAAATAAACGAAAATTTTCCTTTTTTTATGATAGGGTTATGGGAAAATTATTTAAAGTAATAAATATATGATAACATTTATGTTTATAGATATGTGTTGAAATATTTACTATAGAGTAATAAAGTAAATAGATTAAGTATTTTTTGTTTGTATCACAAGCTAAAATATTTTTGTTGTTAATTTCTTAAAGATTTTCTTTTTTTTTATTATGTTTGTTTCTGATTCAATATGATATGTCATATAATAACTATTAATAAAATAATTAAAGTTTCGAATGATCAAATAATTATAACTTGAACACAGTAAAGCACAGTTGCTAATTATTTTCCGATTTCACTTTTTTCCAACTATAACGAGTGAAATTGCAGACTCGTTATATATCTCTCTCTCCCTAGTAACGACAAGTAAATGTAACATATCCCTCCGAAGCTATCCTATGTATTTATGAATTTATTATGTTTATATTCATTTATTACTTATATTTGCATATGTAATTACACTTCTGTTCTGATATAAGGTAAGTGAGGTGAGAGAGAGAGATGCGAGTACGCAGAGATACTTCCGTGCGCGACAGCGAGGCGAGGAGAGAGAGAGACAAACATAATCGCGCCGTAGTGAGTGACTGCGCGCACTGATTGACTCGAGTGCCCGCGGCACGAGCAGTAGCTGTGTAGACTCGTGAGCGAGCGGACAGAGTTCTTTGTTCCGACCGCTTTCTTTGACGGATCTTAATTGTGACCTGATACCTCTTTCTTTCGATTTTGGAGTGCGTACCCTCATCTAGAAAAGGATTGCGACGTCGCCTGGCTCTGCAGAGGACCTACGCACGTGGGATGCATCTGGTAGTGCAGAACATCGTTGCGCGAGGTACCATCGTTGAGAGAGACCGAGCTGCATAGTGCACGTGGTACCCTTTTATTCGTGCGTCCGCGTCAACGCAGATTGTGTAAATCGTAGGCGTATCTAGAGGTCGAGCACCGGCATTGTAAGTACTGGCTAGATAGCTTACTCTCCTTCTCTACCAATTTACTCAACGTGCTCTCTCCCTCCTTCCGACCGCTTTTATTAACTTTTTTTGATTAAAGATATTGTTCACCGTAAGCATTCTAATTTAATCGTATCCCGCCGCTTTCTTCGAACGCCCCGCTAATGCGCGCCGACGACCGCTCTTGAATTTTCGACTTTCGCGTTCTTTAGTCAACACTACGAATCTGCGCTGATCCGGCCGTCCTATCACCGGCGTGAGGAGCACCGGACCTGGGAGGACGACTAAATCCAGGAAGCTTCAGACTTCGTTTGGACATTCCCCATTTATTGTTTTTCTTTATATTTACGGTGTAAACCGGGCAAAATCCCCGTTATACAACTTAAAAGTGCTTACTTTAAAATTAGACGGCTGTTGGACTTATGAGGAAGGGGCCCATATTTCGTATCTGAGAAAATTAATGCAAAACAGAAGATAATATGCGTTGTGTTTTTTATAACTAGATACTGATTAAGGTGAAACTTATGGTATAATTTTTTGAAAGAATCAAATGTTTTTCCTGTCTAATTAATTTATTCATGAAAACTACAGTATAATACAAATTCTACCGGGGCACAATTTTCATTTTGCAGATTATACAAATTAAGAAGAAGACATTCATAATGTTTTACAATAAAATTCCGCGATTTTTTAGTCGGGAAGAGAGGTTTTCAGCGGCGTGAAAGATGTGTTACTGAAATTGTCAAACTAGACTTCGAAAATCGTTTCTTTTTTCAATATTTTTAGGGTTATAAATTCCAAAATAACTTTTTTTTAATGGTACTGGTTAAGGCGAACCGGGAAGTATATTCTTTTTTTGAGAAAATAAATAATTTTCCTTTCAGAGTTATCTACTTTATCAGCTAAGTAAATAGCTGTTTTTGTGAATGCAAGAATATAAGAATACACGTTAACTTAGGGAAAAACTGAACCGTTACCGGAATGGCTAATTTTCTTGGTACGTCTATATTGTCTATCAATCTCGATCGGTTTCAAAATGAATCTTTTCATCCAGCCAGTGAAAGAAAAAGAAACAAAAATCATCTTCACATAGGAACAAATCGTGATCTTAACGATGTGACGAGGGAAATGATTCTGCACTTGAAGTCTACAAGAACGAATATCAGAAGGTCGTAAGCGTGTCATTCAGTAATGACTACGTAGGTCTGACAAACACATCCCTAAATACCATGAAAAGGGTATCTATAAGCAGTCTTTTGATTCAAGAAATAATCTAAATAAAGTCATAATTTAATCAAAGATCTTAAAGAGACAGATCAAACGAAGATGGTTTAAAATGAAGAGAAGAATAATACCTCTCAAAAATAAACCGAAACAAATTTCTCTGACTAATCAGTGCAGTTAACTCGGAAGGGTTAGCTACTGTAAAAGAAGCAACCAAAGCATCTATAAAGGCTAAAGCAGACGTATATCATGCATCAATGCCCTGCAGGCCAATTCCTTATTATAAAAAATTAGCCTAATGATGGAAGCGATTGCGGTCGAAGGAGATTTCGGTAGGCTAGAAAAATGAGCAGTCTTATTGCAACAGGAAAATAGAGGGCATACAAAAGAGCCAGACGATTTAATCCTCAGAGTAGCAATACGAAGAGTAAAAGTAAAAGCTCCGAAATTCTTGTTCGGTCAATCAAAATAAAATCTAGATCCATGGGGTTTGTCATACAAGATTGTAAAAAATAATCTTGGTAAATCAGATAGTGGAAGTGCTACTATCTATCTGCGAATCACAACATAGCTGTACAATTGAAGATCAAATGAAGCAAGCCAGTCGTTTAGATCTGCGATCTAAAAATTATTTTAATACGGTTGTCCTAATAAAATTGTTTTAATTTTAAAGTATTCCAAATAAGTGCTAAATTTCTTTGATATAAGTTAAAATTTTCGATCATCAGCTCTACATATATGTATAATATTTTACCTTTTTTTTAATTTAGTTTGCAACGCATTTATAACATTAGAGTGAATAAAAATTGTTTTTGAAAAAAAATCAAAATTTTGAAGAAACTGGTTTCAAAATTTGAAAAAATGATTCTTTTCAATACTGACTTTATTTTGTCTAGAATGTAGAATTAAACAAAGAAAACAATTATATAAGTAGTGACTTAAGAAGGTTGGGTTATGGTTGTAATGTATATCACAAATTTTTGAACCTATAATGAAGAAAATTGTGGCTTATTCGAAACACTTAATTAAAAATTAAAGAAAAACTTTTTATGTATATTTTTATTTAACTTTCACCACGATAAAAAAATATAATATTGATTCAGACTTTATCCATAGTTGTACCCAATATTCCATATTTTGGAAAATTCACAGATTTAATAGTATTTTTCACTTTAAAACTTGGAAATAATCCAGTAGCCCCCGTTTTAAGGTTTTTACCTTTGGAGTAACCGTCCCAATGATTACCATGAACTTCAATTTCATCCCCAACAGTCAATTCGATTTCTCCGTATCTTCTTGGAGTATGGTTCATTATTGTAACATGGGGGTGTGGATTTTGACCTCCGTAATAGTATATATCATCTAATGAAGTAAATTTATCATGCGCATCGACATGATGTGTCTGCATTAATTCATACGCAACACGACATACTTGGGAACTGAAAGTACATACTAAAAAATCACATAAAGATAAGAAATGAATATCGATAATGATTCCTTTTAAGGATAAATTAGAATAGCGTTGTGATACAGATGCAGTTTGAGCTATATCGATGTCGGCAATAATTTCATACTCTGAATAGCGTCGTTTCACTGCTAAGATAACTTTAGGATCATCGCTAGCCAGAAAAATTTTTTTTTTGTTTGGTTTAACTTTCAAACTATCGTAATACTGCTCAACTTTGAGCATGTACTCATCTATATCATGAAAAGCAGCTTCTGTTCCTACTTTGTCAGTTCTGCGTATATGTACACCAACAATGGGGTTACTGAAATTCATAGCCTTTTTCTTGTTTTTCAGCAATAACCTAGTATTCTCGTTGGGCCTCATTGTATATTTTAGTACCTGTCCCACCCACCATACTAAAGGATAACCATGTATCTTTGTAAGCCTTTTCGCTATATCTGCTGGTATACTAGGCGGTTGATATATAGGTTTAGGATAAACGTTATCAACAATAGGTAATGAGATAACTTGTTTAGATGAATCACCTGGCCAATTTATTTGCGTATCACCATTGGCAAAAATACACGTATCACTAAGAGGTTTAAAAACTGATTCCCAACCCTCCTTTTGATATCTCCATCCTTTTGATTTTAAAATAAGGGTTCTTTCAGTACCATATGCTACGATGAAGCAATATACTAAATGATGGACCTGTAAATTATAAAAGATTTATTCATTTTATAGTCTCAAAATCAGATCTCTCTCATAAATAAATAATTTTCTGTAAATACATTAAATTAATTGATCAATTACAAGGGACATAATCAGTTTTGCAATAGTAATCCATAAGATGATAGCTTATTAATTCTATTAAATATATACAAAAGCGATTGAGAAACATTTCATAAAACATCTTAGTTTTAAATTAGTATCGTTGCTAGTTTTGCAAGTTCATTATTCTATGCGAAGTTACAACTTCGCCTTTTTACTCAAAATAAGTAGGATAAAATGATAGGAAATGACAGAGGGGGCATGTGACAGAGTGGTGAGTAATCAACACTTCTTATTTGTTCGGCAGCGCTGTATCAGAGTGTAATGTAACAGGTGGGAGTGTATCGTGATTGTACTTGCATGTGTAACATATAGAGATAGTAGTTAAGTAATATATGTTTCAGACTATTTGCAGGGATTTATGCAAACCCACGTAGTTGTACGTGTTTCAAATCATCAGTGAGGAGTTCACGGGTTCGCTCGTAGTTATACATATATTCCAATGTTAGCTTAGCGTCTTTTGTTTAAGGTGAACGAGAAGGGGATACGGTTGTTAAGATTGCTACCAATAACTTTCAAACACTACCGCTACCCTAGTTAGAAACAGGATTTAAAGAATTCTTCAATATAGCGATATTAAAGAATTCTTTAAATCTGTCTTCAGAAAATTCTAAAAAAAGTTTTTACTTTTATTATATTGTATTTAATTCCTATAACGTTCGAACTATATTTTATTTACGCTAAACGCACAAAATTTATAATTACAAATTCTAATCTCAGGTCTCTTATTTATAACAATCTTAAGCCACTGTACCTTAAGCCTACAATCGATTGACCTGCAACTTTTCAGCCTATAAACCTTATTTCATCTACTAAAAACCCTTAAAATCCAAGCTCAAATGATCCGAAATTTATATTAATGTAACTCATATCTCAAAACCTTCCTGTATACTTATGGACTATAAAGCTTTTATGGATCAATTTTAAACACTTTCAGGATAAATTGTATAAGATTTTTGTTTCGTTACAGAATTGTAAGATTGACTATACAGTCTTTAAAAAATCATGTAAAATTTGTTTGATGACAGTAAAAGTTTATTGTGGATGTTCGTCCTGTCGTCCTGTCGTCGGTTCTTGGCTGCCAGCGACAGAGGCGTAGCTTACCCCGTTGCCGTCGCTCGACACGCTGTCCGTGCTCTGTTCTCTTGGTAGGTTCAGTAGGTTCTGGTTCGTGTCGTTATTTCGTGTCGTCCTCCTCTTCCCCGTGCACAAAGTACGGCCCTCAAAATTCGTGCCGCTGCCCGTGGCCACCGGGGATTTCACCCAATCGGAACCCGGGGTGAATTCCCCCTGAGAAGGGGTAATCCTCCACTTGAGGTAAATCTATGTTTTTTTTGTGCATGTTCATATTTTTATTTCGTCCCGTTGTGCTAAAGGACCCTCGTGGTCGCGACTCCACGAACCGCGCTGGAACAACGCACGGACCCTGAGGTCCCCCTCCTCTGCCCTATGTGTTCAGTGTTCTCCCTGTAGAGTGTTCGTGGTTGTGAGTGCCCATAGTGGCAAAACCGGGCTTCGTTCACAGGAAGAGACCGATTAGAGGGATCCCCTTCATTCGCTTTCGGGCGGCTCCGTTTATAGGTGTCCCCAGCATTCGCTCTTTCGGTAAGCCCCGTTTATAGGGTGGCCGAGCATTCATTCGTCCCGGTTTGCCAAGAGGCGTGTGTGTGTAAGTGTTTGCGTAATGTGTGAGTGTAGGTGTGAAAGAGATTAATGGTTGGGCACATCGGCAGAATACCATTATCTTTTGCGTCATTCGTGAGCCATATCTTCCACTTGGCCGTGTCCGTTATAGCGTTGCTTCTCACAAGGAAACCCCCCCAACACGACCTCACCGATTTCAATAATCTTTTGATATGTTATAGTTCATCAAAAAATAAGACATACGTATTTTTTTTTATCGGCGGAAAAACACTTTGAGGGGGTGAAAACAACCCTCAAAGTTCACCCCCAAAAATAGATTTTCCAATGTATCTCAGCATCTAATTGATATTTTACGACCAAACAAATTTCATATCACTTCTCATGTGAAAAGCAAACTAGCACATGCAATTCCGACCACAAGGGATGCAACCCTTATTTTTTTTATTTAAAATACTATCTATTTCATGGCTATTTTTATGAAAAAAATTAAAATAACCCGAAAAAAATTAGAAAAAATATTACCCTACATAAAATACAAAAATAAAGTTAATCTAGTCATGGTTTTTTTTGAAACTACCCCGTTAAAGTTGAAAAACCACCCCTAAAAAATTATTTTCAATACATTACAGGTGGTGTTGATAATTTACTGTAAAATACGTTGCTCATCACTTATAATGTACAAACACATTTATCTCGTGCAGTTTCGACCAGGAGGGTTGCAACCCCTAATTTATGTCATCGAAATTTTTATCTTCTCCATTCCTATTTTTGAAAAAAAGTTCATAATGAGCTTAAAAAATTGGAAAAATTATTATCGTGGATAGAATACGAAAAATATGTACCAATTCAAGATTATATCACCTAACAAGACCCAGAACTGGGACAACGTTTTTCCAAATTATTTTGTTGCGCCGATTCCGAATCTGCCCGGAAAAATGGTCCATCACCCAGTAGCAATTTCTAAAACTCCCCTTATATCCCAATCGCAATTTCCCGCACTAACCCGCACTATCAGAATGCTTACAACCCCCCCTAATAACCCCCTAAAAACCTCCAATGAAAATGCCGTTAGCCCCCCACTAATAGCCCGAAGACATAGCTGAGCCCCCTTGCATCCTTATGGCAATGCTTGCAACCCACCGAATAACATAATAGCAACGTTATCAACCCTGCTAACTACTGGGGTTATTAGGGGGTTATTAGGGGGAGGGTCTTATTGGGGGGGGGGGGGGGAGTTATTAGGAGGTTAATGGGGGGTTGTAAACAATGCCATTGGGGGATATTAGGAGGGTTATTAGGGGGAAGTTTATTACCATCGCCATTCGGTGATTAGGAGGGTTGATAGCATTGCCATTGTTTTTGTTGGTTGAGTTTTTCTCCTTTCTTGTGACTAAAATTGTAAACTGCCAAGTAATATATATTTAATTGATTTTTATATGCGTTACTATAATTCATTCAGTTACCAATTAAAAACAATCAAAAAAATTAGGACGGATTTATTGTTCATACTTCTTACAATAATGATATTCTTCATAGAAGTGCTCGAAACATAATGATTTTTTGCACCAACCGCAACGTATAATAGCCACATTTTTGCATCCTTCTATGTCACAATGTGTATTGTAGGAATCTCCAAAACTGTAAGCAACAGGATTGTCAAAATTTTCTGGTTTTTTAGTGAGGTAACCACTCTTGAACCAGGAATATTTAAAAAGATTAGTATATCTTGGTGAAGATAATTGATTGTGGACTAACGACTGAAGTTTAATGATGTTGTTTCTTTTATGTAAATCCAAATCATAATTCATCAAAATTACGGTATCTGAAAATTGTCGGACAAAGTTCTTCCATATGCGAAATCCAAAAACATCAAGTGGCTGAATTTTTCCCGTTGTGCCAGTCGGTATTTTTTTAAAATTTATAATTTTATCACGTGGAATTACAGTTTCTATGGCACTGTCACAATGACCGCTCCAGGAGTCAAGCAACAGCATCGTATTGGAACCTACATTAGGGAAATATACTTTTTGCAGCCATATTTTAAAGAGATCTAAAATCAAAAATCTTATTTGTAAAATCATTTATAATGACATTAATTGTAACTAGATGGGATTATGTATACCTGTAGTCAACTTTCCAGATTTAGATGCTTCTACGTAAACATTTTCGGGTCTAAATAAAGTAGTTTCAACAATGGGTCCAAACTCACCGCTAGATTCCTTCAAAACTAAAAAGAGTGGTAACAGTAATTCTCCTGTGGCTGATATGAGTGGCTGTATAGTATAACTGTGGGTTGTTGAAGAAACTGACTGTACTAAACACTGTACCTGCTTTTCTCCTTCAACCGCTAGCGTTCTTCCGGAGTGCATTTCCAGTTGGAATCCGCTCTGATCAGAATTAAACACATTATGAATTCCAATTATTCTTATGCCTGCTTTAACATCAGCAATAAAAGTATTTGCTTTAATCGTTAGTTCTGAATTACTTTCTAGTGTTTTCTTGGTTATAAACTTATTTATTTTCCGGGATACTATTCTATGAGCTTTCTTGAATTTACAAAGCCAGTTATCCGAAGCTTTGAATCTTACATCTTCTGATCCTATAATCTTTTGAGCTTGCAATGCCCATCGACGTATGTCACGATCATGAATGATGTAACCAGCGTCTACTGCTGCTTTAAAATTATCAAAAGTGTACTGACAAATTCTTGCAATTTTTTCTCTATAAGTACCACCTTTGTTGACTGTATGAGCCCAACGTTTCAACTGACTCACAGATGAAACTTTCTTAAATTTTTGACGTACACTTTCAACACTTAAATTTTTTTTTTTTTGCCACTTCTCCAGTATTCTACGGCTCTTTGCTTATATTCAAAACTGACATCTTCATTGTCTTTGGTACAATGGTCGGTGGGTGCTTCGAAATCGTCAGGAAAATGGTGTTGAACTTCATCTTCTACTATTTTTGCAGCATGATCTTTGTAATCTTCTTGAAAATCTAATGTATCTTCAACGATCATATCTACTTCATTGAAATCATTCACGGAATCTATTAAAATGCTTTTAATTCTTTCCGACAATTGAACCTCTTTATAATTTGTCTCACTTTCAGGTATTTGTAGAGTTTGAAAGTAAGCTAATAATAAATTTAAAACGTTCAGAGCGTTAATTTTCATTTTTTAATCTGAAATAAAAAAAAAATATATATATATCTTATATATCTTCTATTATATTAAA